AAAATCACAGAGTGTGTCTCTTTCATGAATTTCATCTATAAATAAATGTGTGATATGACTTAATGCTGGATCAGATTGAAGCATTTGAACTAAAACTCCAGTAGTGACATAAGTAATCGATCCGCTTTTTCTTTTTGGTACTTCGCTGAAAACGACGAATGAATTTTTTTTTTAAAAATAAAAGTTTATAACGATGGTAAAAAATTAATTAAATTTTATTTAATTTACCTTTCTAATCTAATAATGTAACCAACACTCTCACCAATTTTTTCATCTCTTTCCAATGCAACTCTTTCAGCAACCGAAATCGCACTTATTCTTCTCGGTTGAGTGCACACAATATTACATAATGATCCTTTCTTCTTAAATATGTAATCGTCTAATACAAATTGAACCACTTGAGTGGTTTTTCCACAACCTCAAATAATATACAAATACTGTTAATTATTTTATTTTTAAAAAAAGAAAAATTTTTAAATTGTTTTAAAAAAAAAAAATTCTTTACCTGTTTCTCCTGAAATAACAATCATTTGATTGTTTTCAATTAAATCAACCAATTCTTTTCTTTTTTTGAATGAGGGTAACCTTTGTCGAAAATCAAGCATTTTTTGAAAATGCTTACTATGACCTTTTTTTTTATTTATTTCTTCATATAATTCCTCATCTAATTCAGGATCAGATTTAAATTTAACAATATCAGATTGATTTAGTTTTTCTTCGAAAGTAACATTTATTTTTTCTAAAAACCTCTGTTGAAAATCTTTATGAAATTTAACATCTTCTTTCAAAGTACCCACTTTGTATAGGACTTCTTCAATTTCATCTAATTTACTAGCATTTAAAACAATTGATAATGGTTTTTCATCTTTACTACGTTGTCTATCTCTATACCACAACCCGATTTCTTTTCCTTTTAATCCTGGAGGAGGTTTATCCGGTCTTTCCTGTTTTGAAGGAAAAGACTCTCCTCGTCTATTACTTTTTTCTCCAAAAAGATTAGCATTGCTATTTTGTTCTCTTGCCGATTTAAACGGTTTATTACAATTGACTCCTTTTTTATAAAAGTAACTTTTACTTTTACTCATTATTAAATTAAATTGCGAAACAAAAAAATTTATATTATTACTGAATTTCAATTGAAAATAACATAGCATACTCAAGTATAATCAAGCATACGGAGCAGACGACGGACTCCATATTAAATTTACCGTTTTTAGCGGCAACTATTTAATTAGCAATTAAAAAAAAACTCTTGAAATTTATTAACATTGTAAAATTGATTTTGATTTTTATTGAAAATGTTTCAAAATGTAACAAACAATTTAAATTACAGAAACGGAAATAATGACAGATTGTTAATTTAATGCCTTTTATATACATTTTAAATTAATAATAGGGTAAGGAATGCTACTAACTTTATTTTGCAATGAAATCACTGCAAAATAAAAATAAAAAAATTTTTATTAGTTTTAAAAATAAATTATTATTGTACAACAAATATTTTAAAAAAAATAAATTATAAACATTATGAGTTACATTATTCTTAGATATGTATATTTTTTATATTTCATAAAAATAACGAGAAAATGTTTAATTTTAAATTAAATTATTTATTATTATATACATAAAGCGATTCCCTGTTCAATTAAGTGTTTTATCTTAAAGAAAGGAATCATGTAAATTGTATCTGGTTCTAAAGTTTTAGGAGTGTCTCCTAAAATAATACCTTCCACCGGATGCAAAACTTTCAATGTGACTAAACTTTTAAAATTTGGCTTAATTTCAACATCTAAACCCTCAAATTCATGTAATAATGAAGGCATGTGTCTGCATGCCTCTTCGTAAAAATGACCTTTAACTATTTTCCAATATTGTTCGGCAAATTCAAATTCAGCTTTGGTCATGTATCGATCAGCAGGATCAGGTATTGCTCTATCCCTCTTTAATAAAAAAACTGCATATTTTTCAATTTTCTGTAATCTAATTCTTAAATAACTAGAAATAACGTATCTGATTCTATCAATTTCCATTTTATGAGGTATAACTAAAAAATCATCTGTCGATAAACCTTTTAAATTTTCTTCCATTTGTTTTATTTGATCCATCATGCAATCTACCCAGTCTTCTTGATTCTAAATTAATAAAAAGATACAGATCGATTATAAAATATTATTTAAAATAATTTTGTTTTCATACGCAGTATAAAAAATTTAAAATAATATTTTTTAACCTTAAGTAAATCCGGACAACATTTTTCATTAACCCATGCCGTGGTAAGCTTTTTAAATATTTCACCAGCCGTTTCGGCTTCCTCCTGATTATCTTCTAAATTAAACAATTCCGACGATGATTCAGCCATTAGTGAATAAAAAATAATAAAATAAATAATAATTATTTAAATAATTACAAGTACTCAAATATATATATCTGTCAAAAATAAAAAAAAAAACCGCGAAAATGAAATTCATGGTGCCAACCGTAATTTAAATATCAAACCGCTTTTCATGTCAGTTACGAAGTTAATAAACAAAAGTTTTTTTTGTAAATAAAAATTATTTCGATTATTTAATGTGAATAACTTTTTTTCTTTTTTTTTTTTTTTTTTTTTTTCTTTTAAATGAAGCGTTCAAATATGAATGTAGCTATTAAAGCTACAATAGCCGAAAAAAATTCTGAAATGGAAAAGTTAGAAAAAAGTCGAAAAGCTCATTTACGTATGATATCCAGTAGTGCCGCCAAAATTAAAATGAAATTACATTTAACCGAAGATATGGGTCAATCTGTCGAAAATCAAAACGTAATATTTTAATAAAATTTCTTTTTCATTTAAATTAATTATTATTATTATTATTTTAATTTTTAACATATATTTTCAGGCGACAAATATAAGAATGTATGAAACCCATGTTCCAGGCTTTTGTTATTTGAGAAATGGAGAGTGTAGAAAGCAAACAACATCAGCAGCAACAACTTTTCATCCAGATCCAGTCCAGGTCTGTTTTATTTGATTTAAATATCAATTAAAATGTCATTTAAAAAATTTTCACGTCATACTTGAATACTTTATTTTTAAAAATAGTGTTCGGAAAATGTAAAAGCTTTACTTTTTACCAACAATGAATTGGATATTTATAAAACAATGTGTTTGCATTTATTGGGAGTTCATGTACAAAGTGGAGCTCATATTCAAAGGCACATTCTTTTTTTTTCTTTCCAATAATTTTTTTTTTTCCCTCAAAATTTTAATAAATTTTATTAAGTGTGTTATGTAAAATTTTTTTAGAAAAGATGGAAGGCTTTGTTCTTACATAAAAGCTCAATCGACAGGATCTTCGCCAAACACTTTACAATCTTTTTCACAAAGAGTGACGGGTAAACTGAATGAAACATTTTCTAAATATGATAAATTATTACCAAGATACATTTTAGATGTTAAAGTTTCATCAAATCCAGGAATTTCATTCACATCATTTAAAACCAATGATTCCGATATAAAAAATGAAGAAGATTCGATAAAAAAGCGAAAATTACAGGTATTTATACAAAAAGTATACATTAAATTATTCTCAAACAATGTAAATAAGCATTGCTTTAGGTGCCAATTTATATAAATAATGAAATAAGAATGATAATAGATTCAGTATTAGAAGCCTTAGAAGCTGTTAATAGTTTTAAATTGAAAAAATTTATGGAATTGGCTTCCAGCCCAGAAGAATTAAGAAATTTATTAAAAAATGAAGAATGGCATAATTACATAACTGAACTTTCGAATAAACCTTTTATAGTCAAGCCAACATCTTATGATTTTATAATGACTCATTTAATGTTTGATAAAAGTAAAATAATATTCCATTACCCTTTTGATATAAAAAATTCTTACAATGGTTTAAAATAAAGTAAAAGCTTTTTATCAAATGATTTTTCCAGTTCCAGAAAAAGGAACTTTGGAGCCTGTCGCTCAAGTATTAGAAATATGTAATAGTGAAATATTACAAAATTCAATTCAACACATTCGTAAAGGAATTTTATTGAGACATACAGAATTAGTGAATTCAAACATAATACCAAAAGGAAAAACAGGGTAAATAATAATAATAATAAATTTTTAAAACTAACATAAAAACATTCATTTGAATTTTAAAAAAAAAAAATTAAATTGTGTTTTATGCAGAATTGGAATAAAATCGATGGAACCATTCAAACCAGGGAATATATCACTCAGTAGTGGCTCTGGTACGAGAAATTCTAAAACATCGACAAAAAGTAAAGGTAATTAAATAAGTGACAAATAAAAATTATTAAAAATTATGTACATTTAAGAAAAAATTTTTTTTCTTTTTTAAGGAAGTAAACAAGATTCAAAATTTCTTTTTAATAAAAATAGTATAAATGAAAAAAGTGTATCAATCGGTCAAGAAACATCGAAAATTGTTAAAACGAATACTGATTCATCAAACAGCACAAATTCAGGGAATAAAAATTCAATTGAAAAACAATCGAAAAGTGATAACAATCAATCTAAAGGAAATGTAGAATTAGATAATTTATCAGTACAAGATGATAATAAAAGTTTGTAAAATTTAATTTCTCCTTTTTTTTTCTCTCATAAACTTGATTGAAGGTTATCTATGGAATAATTTTTTTTAAGGTGTTAAATCGAAATCGAGTAATACAGATTCGAATAAATACAGCTTTCACAATCTCAGCAATTCTCAAAGAATTCTTTTAGGTTTAAAAATAGCAAGTTTAAAATGTAAACCGATTAATATGCATCAATCAGAAGGTAAAAAAAAACTTGATTTGGGATCAATCGTTGGTCCCATTGTTCGATCAGAAACTGACGTGGAAAGTAAACAAATTTCATTGTCCAATAACAATTCGTCATTCGCACTGGTAATCACTGGTTCAAATAATTTTCTTCTTTTTTTTTTTATCCCTGTCATTATTATTATTATTATTGCTGTTCTATTATTTATTTAGACGGATAACAAATCGAAAAATTTATCAAGTGATATTTCAGGCGTACAAACAAATGATATTGAAAATTTAACAAAACAACTTTTAGCAAATTTAAGATTGGATATATCGGAAACAGAAAATAAAAAAAGAGTCAATCTTTTCATGTCGAAAATTTCTTAATAATGAAATCATCAATTGAAAATATTTTTCTTTTCTTTTCTTTTTATTTATTTATTTATTTGTTTTTATCATGTATTAATGAATGTAAATTTTTTTTCTTTCTGTTTTCATTAGATTTTAATTTGACAATTTTCACAGTGGAATATTTTAATTTATTATCCTTCTTATTATTATTATAAATTTTATTCGAATCTTTTTTAAGTTTTTTATTAGGCACTCGATAATCTACACCATCATCATCATCATCAACAAAATTTTTAATATTCGATTTATCAAATTTTATTTTTTTCTGCGTATTTAATGTTTTCACATTGAAATTTTCACTTGTTCCATCATTTTGATTATTTTGAATGGATATAAAATCCTTTTCATTATTTTTCATTTCATTTTTTTGAAAATAAGTCTCCGGACTAAAAATTCTTTCACTTATGCTACTTCGATATAAATAATCAAATTCGAAATTACATTCTTCTTCAATTTTTTCAGGCTTTTCTAATAGATTTATTCGTTTTATTTTTGATAAACTTTTGTTAAATTCTTTATCATTTGAAATATTATCATTAATAACAGCTAATGATTGAATTTTAGAGATGATTTCACTGAAAGTTTCATAATTTTTTTTAAATCCTAATGCTATACATGAAAATCCTAATGTTTTGTATGTAACTTTTCTAAGCCGTTCCAAATGTAAATAAGGTATTTTATTGTGAATGCATAATAAATTTAAATGATGTATGAGGAGTTTGGGTGAAACATCACTTGCTAATAATGCAGCAGAAATCAAATTTTTTTTAATACATCGATTTAAATCATTGACTCCGAGTGCCAATCCTTTTCTTTTCTCTTTCGCTTCTTCTTTGACATTGTTTGTTTCTTTACTTTCTTTTAAACTTTCATTACTTTTATTATCATCATTTTTTTCATTATTATCATCAGTTTGAAATAAAATTTTTGCTTCGGGTAGTAACCTAAATAAAAGTTTAAAAAAACATGTGAAGTTGTCATAGTTAAAAAAAAATTATTTTAAATTCCTTATTTACTTACCTTTCTAAAATTAAACATATTTCATTTTCATCACTTTTAGATATCAATGTCGGCCTAAAAACAAAATTTTTCTTTAATATAACTCATTTTTTTTTTTTTTTTACAGGGAGAGAAAAATTAAAAATAACCTCACTCTACTCTAACACTATCCGGTAAATCTAATATATTTTTCAATACTTTTTTCTTTTTTTTCTTCGAAGACAACGATGCTTTTTGTTCTGTAATCGATAACACATTTGCAGCCATTTTAAAATATAAAAAAAATCCTATAAAATTTTCATAAAATTAAAAACATATTCGGCTTTTGATTTATATTTTTAAATGTTAAACAGTATCCATGATTGAATATAGAATTAAAAATTCTACTGCCACGAAATTTTTTTTTTAAAGTTGGCCATCTATCCAATTCTCCCACGGTTTTCTCGCGGTTTTCACGGTCATCATTATATTTTTTAATAATTTTTAGTGTTTAATTTATTAATTTTTATAAAAAATAATTCGTAAATAAATAAATATATATATATATTTCTTTTTTATACAAATATTATTATAAGAATCGTTAATGTTTATTTACAAATTTACATTTAAAAAACAAAAAAAAAAAAACTTAAAAAAATATATATACCATTAATCACAATTAATTTCATGTTTCTTTTAAAACGTTTTTTAAAATCACGCTGCTTTCGTTATCCTGTGACGAACTAAAAGTCGGAAGAATCAATTCTGAAAAACCATCCCTTTGCAGTTTGGGAGGACTCGAACCCGAACCTGTCGTTCCTCCCCCCTTGACTTTAAACTGATCGGAAAGTAGTTTAAATTGGGGTTGCGGTCGTGATTCGTTTTCCAAAAACTTAATGAAAGCCTCCGAAAGGGATTGTTCGTTGACGTGAGAATTTCCACCGCCTTTCGGATGCAATATATTTCCCAACCAACCGGAATTCGTTGCGTCGACTCCCATTTTTTCCCTTTCCGACGAATCGAAATCCAAAACGGATGCCAATATTCTAAGAGCCTGCGACTTTCTATCCCCTTTCGGTGACAATATGTAACCGACAATTAAATTTTTAACTAAGGATTTATCGACTTTACCACTCACGCACTGATTGGCACCCTCCAATTTCTTTTCCAATTCGCAAACGTTTCCCTCGACCCTTTTGAGATTTTCTTCCAATTCCGTCACCTGACGATTTTTCCTTTCCAACTGTTCTCCCAGTCTCGACGCGGCTTTCAAACCGTTTTTCGCTTCCTCCAATTGTTTTTGTAAATTTTCCATTTCCGACTCCAACTTCCGGTAATTGTTTTCTTTCCCTTCGATTTGTTTTTCGTATTTCATCGCCGTCGTTTCGACTTCCCTATCTTTGTCCTGTTGAAATTGTTCCAACACGATTTGCAGACTCGTCAGAGATGCTTTGTGCTTTTGTATTTCGTCTTCGGCAGCGGATAATTTGGTTTGAAATTCGTCTCTCTGAACGGAAACCAATCTGACTTGATTTTGTAACGATTCCACGTGTTGATTATCTCTTATTTTGGCGGATGTGTACAGTGTGGAAGAATTTTTCAATTGTTCTTCCGCCGCCATCAATTTCGATTTCAAATCGTTTATGATTTTTTCACTTTCCACGGCTTCCTCCGTGTAATGATCTTCGACTTCTATCAAATGCTGTCGTAGCCTTTCGAATTCTTTTCTCGCATTGCTCTCCTTTTCCAACGTGACTTGAACTTCTTCCGTGAGTTTTCTATTCTTGTTCTGTTCCATCAAAAGCGAATCTTTCAATTCTTTTATTTCTTTATTTAACGACTCCGAATCGTGATTTTGTGACTTGTTACTGTTGTCATTGAGTATCGAATCAGAATCCGTTGCCGATTTCGATCTCCTGTGATGTTGAACGTCACTTCCTCTCCCGACACTCCCCATCATTTCCTCCTCCTTTTGTACAATATGATTTTTCATTTGCTCTTGAAATTTTTGTATTCTCGAATTGAGTTCGATTTTATCATCGTTCAATTCCGATATCAATAAAACATTTTTCTGATGTTTTTCTTTCAATTCCCGATTTTCCGCCACGTATAAATTTTCAACTTCCATTTTCGATTCCAATTCTCTGTGCAACCTGTTGCAGGATTCAATCAAATTATTGTTGGCTTCTTTGAGTTGTGATATTTCCAAATCTTTCGCGTTCAACAATTCTAAATCGCTACGTAATTTTAATAATTCGTTTTCTAAAATTTCTATTTTACCCGATAAATCTTGCCTTTGTATTTCTAAATCCACGGACGTGGTTTTCCATTTTTCAATTTCCCTCCTGCATTTTTCCAATTCTTCATTTTCCATTTGTAATTTTTTCACGTCTTGTTGTAGTCCAACATTAGTTTTTGATAATTCGCCATAATTCGTTTCTTTTATTATTATTTGAGCTTTTAAATTATCCGATTCTTTCATCAATTTATCATTTCCTTTTTTCAATTCTTCCATTGTTTTTTCCCATTCTTTTAATTTTACATTAACCGTTTCTAATTCGTTTTGTAATTTTTTCACACGGTCGTCACTCTCAATGTTTAAACCGTTTAATTTTTCTTGTAATTTTTCCAAATTCATTTTCAAATCCTTATTACTCTCTTTCAAAATTATATTTTCGGATTTTTCTCCATCGTATTTTTTTTCCAAATCATTTTTTTCTTCCATCAGTGTGGATTCGACATTTTTCAATTCTTTTATTTCTTCGTTTAACTTATCGATTTCATTTTTGACAAAAATCTGTTGATTTTCATTATTCGATTTTAAATTAGACATTTCTTTTTCTAAATCTTTTTTACATTTTTCTAAATTTTTACATTCTTCTGTTTTTTGTTCGCACACAAATAATAATTTTGTTATTTCTTGCTCTAATTTTTTAACATCATCAGTTTGACTTTGATTATTTTTCAATTCATTTTCTTTTTCCATTTCTAATAATTTTGATTTGAGCAAATTGGCTTCTTCTAATTTTTGTCCAATACTTACAATGTCACCTTGATATTTTTTTTCTTTTTCCAACCAAATCTCACCATTTTTATTTAATTCTATTTGTAATTTGGCATTCAGTTCTTTTAATTTAACTATTTCCAATTCCAAATGATTTTTATTTTCTTTTAATCTTATTTCACATTCTTCTAAATTTTTTTCACTCGTTATTAATTTATTTTCAATTATTTCTAACAAATCGTTACAATTTTTATCGCTAAATTCATCGATATTTACATTAAATTTTTTTAATATATTTTTTAAATTATTATCAATATTATTCATGCTATCAGAATGAGAAGAATGAGTTACTGTTTTATTTAATTCAGATAATAATTTTTCTTTTTCTTCAAATGCATTTTTTAACTTACTTTCTAAGTCCTCTTTGTCTTTTTTCAACGTTTCCGTATGTTCGAGTAAATTTTCATGTTTTAATTCGATATCCTTTAAATGGTTTTCCATTTCGGTTTTTTCCTCTTCAATAACCTTGATATCTAGTAGTTGATTTTCTATTTTACCAGTTAGATGTTTATTATTTTCATTTTCTTTTTCCAATTCTTGAAACAAATCATTTTTTTCTTTATCACAGATTGACAATTGTAACTGAAGGTTTTCAATTTCATTTTTTAACATGTTAACATCTTTATTTTCATCATCGTTACTAATCAATCGATTTTTACCTGGTAAATCATTTGTTTCATTTTTGCTCAATTCTGATAATTTTGATATTGCAATTTCATGTTCTTTTTTAAGATCTTCCAATTGTTTCTTATACCTATCTTTAATCGCTACAGCTTCGTTCAAATTTAACTGATGCTCCGATTGCAATTCATCTAAGCAAGAAGACAAATGATCTCTTTCATTTTTTAATTGTGAAAATTCAAATTTCAATTTATTTAATTCATTTCCCTCATTCTCATTACTATTACTATTATTACAATTATTTAAATTTTCTATTCGAGATAAATACTGTTTTTGAAGTTTCTCATACTCATCTCTAAGTGATGCAATTTCAATGTCCTTAGAATCGCATAACGCTTGCAATTCTTTGACTGATACATTTTCTCTTTCATTTTTATCTGTGGCATTTTCATCATCAGCAAGTACTTCTTTAGTAATTTTGCTGATTTGTCCTTTGAGTGATGTCAAACTGTCACCAAATGTTTCATTAAACCATGACATAATTTAATTATAAGATGTCTAAAAAAAAAAAAAATCGAAATAATTTTTTTTTTTTCCTTTTTATAAATTTACTTTGTTGAAATATATATTAAATTTCAAATATAATTTTTATATTCCTTTAAAAACTTACCAATTATTAATTGTTATTTGACATAATTAAAGTTTATATTACAATTTAATTTACCACATCATAATTTTCAGGGCCCTGTCCGATGACAATGATGTCAACAACTACTGTGATATCAAACAACTTTTAATACTACTCTCAACGTAAATTATATTTAATTTTTTTAAAAATGTTTTAATTATTTCAGTGGAAAATCACATAAATTTTTTTTTCTTTTTCTTTTTTTTTTTGAAATAAAAATTTTTTTACGTAGATTATTTGGCATTTTTGTAAAAAATCATAAAATTTCCCTGATCACTTTGACACTCCTATTAAAACTCAAGCACTTTACCCAATGCTTAATAAAAGTTAAAAAAAAAAAATTTAATTGCTTGAAATAATTAATTAAAACAACACAAATTTTAAAAATAATATGCATCGTTAAAAATGCACAAAAGCACATTAAATATTATTATTATTATATTAAACAAAATTTGCTTATTAAAAAGTGCAAATACTTACACACCAATTATACACCAAAAGTTATATTTAATAATTATTTAAGTAGAAACCAAAAATGATTATTTTTTATAATAATTTTCTTTTTTAAGGTTTAAAAAACCTTAATAACAACTTTACACTCACTTTTCAATATAAAATTTTTCACACACAAAAATTATTTGATTCCCAACACAAAAGTGTTCCATATTCAAATATCAAACGGGTTAACAAGAAAAGGTTAGGATAAAAATAAAATGGGTGCTAAAAAGAAAAGCAAAGCGAATAAACTTTCTAGAATGTCCGAAGAAGAAAAAATAAGATATTTACAACATAGAGCAGCAATCGAAGAAGAAGCCAAAAGAAGAAAACAACAATTAATATCAACTTTTTTAAAGGTTTGTGTCCGCGCAAAAAAGGCCCCAAATACCATCACCAAAAAAAAAAAAAACCGTTAAATTTTTTTTTCTTTCTAGAACAAATTAAGAAGAGAACATATTTTTTTAAGAATAAACGAAGCAAAAATAAATCAACAATGGAGACATATACTAAGACAAATGAAATGTTCAGAACTAAAACAAGAAATAAAGGTAATAATTAAAAAAATTATTTTTAATAAAATTTTTAAAATATGAAATTTTTTTCGTTTAGGATTTGGCAAAATGGTTCGATTATCAAATAAATAAAAAAAACGTTAAAATTCAAGAAGTTTTGATGGATTTAAACATGGCCGATCGTCAATATTCTTTTCTTCATTGCAAACAATCAGAAACGTTTAAAAAACTAATAAGTTAGTAAAAAAATTATTTACATAAAATTAATTTTTTCTTTTCTTTCAACTTAATAATAATAATAATAATAAATTTTTTAAGTTTTACACGAACACCGCGTTCAACATTTTTTAAATTATTATGAAGAGGAAAAAAATTATGCAAGAATAAAAGCCATGAAAGACATAAACGATATAAAAATATCTTGTTTAAACGATCAAGAACAATTAAAAACAATTTTATATGGTATGGAAAAAAAATTTAATGAAACAAGTGAAATATTAACCAATAAACATCAATCAAAAATGGATGAAATAAGAAATAACGTGAGTAGGAGAGTTACATATATAAAAAAAAAAACGTTATTTTCATAATTATAAGAGTTGTTAACTTTAGATGTTGACAGATATGGAAAAATTAAAAACTACAAGAGAATCCATTATAGGAAACATATGGCAAAATATTCAAAATGTTATTAAACAATATTGGAATCAAACCGAAGACAGACGACAGGAATATTTAATTATGAAAGATTCGGATTATGAAAACGGTTTAAACATATTTGAAAATAATCGTCAGATAAACGAAATGGTGGTAAGATGTAATAAATTATTATTATTTTATCACGATTTGTGTTGTTGTCACAAATGCCATTTTTTTTGGAAAAATGTTTTCAGAACTTCATCAACAATTTAAAAAATACTTATTTGAAAATCCATATCGAAGGTGAAAAGAAAATATTGAAATTTTCACAAGATAGAGACAAATATCGAAAAGTTTTTCAAAATCTTAACAGGGAAGTTTTCGATGAAATACAATCGGATAAGAAAAAATTAAATTTTATGAATTTGATTGCTGATAAAACAACTGATGTGAGATATCATTTCTTCCTTTCCCTCCCTTTCCTTCCTTCCCTTCTTTTTGGTTCAAATCTGTAAATTAAAATATTTATGATAATGATAATGATGATATTTTTTTTAGAAATTAACAAAATTACTTAATTTGGGACGACAAATATTACAAATTCATAACATGTGTAGAAAATTAGAAACATTAGATGAGAAAATATATCAAGGTTTGCCATTTTTTTGGGAATGAATTGATAAAAAATTATAAAATTTGTTTAATTTATTTTTTTTGCTTTTTTAGAACGTCACGATAAATTTCAATTGACACAAGAAGAAGAAGATGAAATTAATAAAGAATGTGAAAAAATTGAAGAAAATTTACCTGAAGTATATCGAAACCATTTTTCATTTTCATTTTTTGTTAATTTTACTTCGATATCATAAATTTTAAACAAATAATAATGATGTTAATATAATTTTTTTTTTGTTTTCAATCCATTTCCAGTCGAGTGAATGTGATTTTATAGATTTGGATCAAGTTTGGAAAAGATATAATCGAATCCTTTTGGAAAAGGAAGCATTGGCTCTTCACATAAAAGTAAACTGAAAATAAAATTGTAATTCTCATTATTTTTTTTAAATAATAACAAAAAAATTGTTTTGTGTGTTTTTTAGTCTCTCTCAAAAGAAAATAACGATTTGATAAAAACGATTAAAATTTATTTAAGTACCTTTGCTGATAAACAACCTGAATCGAAGGCAAGTTTGTAAAAATTTTTTCTTTTTTGTTTCATAATAATTCTTTTTTTTAATTAAATAATTTTTTTTGTTGTTAGGGACCTTGTGCAAACGGTATTAAATGCATTCAAAAAAGGCCATCGACGAGTATTTTAACAAAAAGGAAAAATGATTTATTCGATATACCTTTCAGTGGAATAAGAAAAGTTTCGACAGCACGTCAATTAACAAGAATTGATTTAATTAAACAAATATGAATGTTTTTTCTTTTTTTTTCTTTTGGTGTGTTTGATTTCTTTTTATATGTATTTAACACTTTTCATTGATTTAATTTCACTTTGCTTCTTTTAAAAATAATTAAAATAAACTTTTGTTTTTTTTTAAGAAATAAATACAAAATTTTTTTTATTGAAAATAATTATGATTTTTTATTTTTATAAAGTGACGAAATCGCATCCTTTAGTTTCCAAAAGATTTTCCATTTGTGCCACGTCTTTGCACCAATTGTCTAATCTTTCAACCATCGAATGAATCTAAAAAAAATTATTATTATTATTATTTAATTGAATTTTTAGGTTTAGGTATAAGATTTTATTTTGGTACTCACTTGATTTTTATCTAAAACTCTAGGTTGAACCCAAGTCATGTTAACCGTATTCGAAACTTGATCTATGGCTCCTCGAACCAATCCTTGTGCCAAAGCTTTCATGACTAAAAGTTCGACTTCGTTAACAGGAAGTTTAGCTTCTGCTGCAATTTCATCAAAAGTCAACTGTCTGTTATTTGAAGATCTTTTGAAAGTCATTTCCATTAGGCATAAAAGTGAAATTTTTTGTCTTAGTTTACGTTCTTCAGCTTTCAAATCGGGGACAGAAGACCACTGAGGTTTCATTTTATCAAATTTTGTTATATTTCCTGAATTGAAAGCTTGAAGGAGTTCGACCAACCAAGCTTTATTTGTATATTTAAGTGTCTCAAGAATGGGATGTATAAGCTAAACAAAAAAAAATTATTACCTTTTTTTTTTCGATTAATTATAAAAATTTATCGATGAAGTATTACAATTACCAATTCTCCTAGATTGTATACACCTTCTCCTAATAGTGCAGCTATACCGAGGAAAAATGCATGTTGTTCCTGTTCTTCTTTAGACAAATCATTTAATTCAATGCAACCTAAATATCTCAAAGCAGTTCTATAATAGTCTGCATGTTTTCCTTGTTGACGATAATACTGAGCAGCCAATAGATAATATCTTCCGTGAACTGTTGTGACACCATCGATTTCATCCAACAATTTTTCCACTTCTTCTATTATTTTCTACATTTTAAAATCAAAAATTTTAATGTTTATTTAATAATTTAATAAAAAATTAACACTGTAGCTAAATAAAAAAAACATAAATTAAAACCTTTGTGCCTGGTTGATCATGTAATTTTTGTAATAAAATGTCACCCTTAAGAACTTTACAAAGGGTAACCGCTTGGTTATTGGCTTTTACTTTGCCTTCAGTTTTTTCTAAAAATTCAACAGCTTCTTTTGGATCAGAAAATTGAGTGATAACATATGCTACTATTTCAACAAGTGATAAAGGATTAATTCTAAAAGAAAAAAGAAAAAATTCATTACTGTGCAACTTTACATAATAAACACAAGCAAACTTAATCGAATAAAAAATAATTATAAACAAATAAGGTAAATATTTTCACCTGTTTTCAAAAACATATATGAAATTATTATACAATTTAATCAAAGCATCTCCCTTTTGCAAGGCCGGGTTTTTCACAAATTCTTCAACTTTTAATGTTAACTGATGCCATAACCTAAAATCATTAGAAAAAATAATGAATAATTCTCAATCGGTCAAATAATAAGTTTTTTCTTGATCGAGCACAACTCAATATATTTTATTTCAACTAAAAAGAAATTTTATTAAAAAAATTTTGCGTTTTAGTACAATTTATACAATTTTTTTCATTTTGCCGATTTTTTCAAAATGTAAATATGTTAATAAAATATTCATGAATTTCTTTTTCGTCGAATAAACTTACTTCTTATTGTATAACTCTTCTAATTTAGCCCAATCGGATGCTATTTCTTTTGGAGATTCACTTTGTCTAGCTTGAAGATATTGAGATACATCTTTCACCACAGGGCCAGCCATTTTGATTCTTTTATAAATTTAAGATGATTGTCAACAATTCAAATAATGACATCATAGACTAAATAAATATCTGCTGCCACGAAAAAATATGGCGCATGTAGGAACAGTTTTATAAATTAACGGAAGAAGATTTTGAACGAGGAAAAAAGTGAGTAAAAATCTGATTTTAATGAGAAAATTAATTATGCTAAATTGTTGGATAATCTTTTAGTAAAAAAAACTTAAAAAATAACATTGAAACTAATTTCATATCCAATTTATGAGCAAGCTTTTTTTTTCATACCTTTACATTGTGAAAAACGACCGTTACAACTTACACTGATGCCACAGTGTTTTTTATAATTTTGTAGTAATAAAAAATATGAGATTTGCTCAGTTTTTTTTCATTAAATTTTGTTTCAAATCAATTAATAAAACTAAAGAAAGATATTTGGTAAATTACTTAAAAGCTTTCTCATAAAATGTAAAAATTATTCTATAAAATTTTTAATGGAATTATATAGGGTGATGTATAGTCTTTTATGTATTAGCATATATTGTATAATCTGATGTATTAGCAGATGTACAGTCTTTTGTAAAAGCCATAAATTATCACAAAACAAAAAATTTACTTAATAATTAGTTCTTTTTTTTTTAATATCACATTATTTCCAGGCCTTTACTTAATTAATTCACATTATAAATTAGATATTGTACATATATACTTTTTTTGAAGTGTTGCAAACAAAAAATAATAAAAAGCATTTCATGTTTTAGCTTTCTATGAATGAGTTGTTAATTAAATAATTTCAGGACAAGTTTGTGAAAAAAAAAAAAATAAACTCAAATGAAAAAATTATATTTACATTTATTTAAAAAGATTACATAGCTCTTGTTTTAATGAGAAAATCTTAAAAAAATTTTATTTTAACCTTTGTTTCAATGTTGTTTTTAAAATTACAAACTATATTATTTACATTATTATTATTATTTAAATTAAAAAATAAAAAGTCTCTCTCGTTAAAATAATTTTTTTGTTTTTTTCTTTTTTTATTCTAGAAAAAATGTGAAAAAAATTACAAAACATAAATTCATTTAATTCATGCAACGAATATCATCGGTGCATTTTGTACCATTCATAAAAGTAGTTACGGTAACTTCAGAAGATGCATTATGTTTAAATTTATTTTGACCATTGTAAATCAATGTTTTATTTTCACTCCTTCTGCTTACAGATGTTGTAAAAGTACCCGTTCTTCTTGGAGTTTTCAAACTCAAGCTTGGAGATCTCGACACTGAAGTTTTACAACAGCAAAATAAATGCCTGTAAAAATATTTACGAAAAGTTCCACTCACGCAAAACAACGCAATCGGATTTATGCATGAATTTATGTAACAAAGTGAAAAACCGATGATTTTTAAAGCGTGCCAAAACGCGTTGTAATCTCTGTTGAAATTCGGATTGTTGTGAAACCACAACATGTAGATGTGGTGTGGAAGAAAACAAACGGCGAATATAAAAACAAACGCCGAAACCATTTTAGCAACTTTTTTTCGTGCTCGAGCCTGTCTTCCCGATTCGCCAGGCAAATTGTGAGTGCTCAGCACGAGATGTCTCGCCATGAGAATGTAAAAAAAAGCAATCACGAAAAGCGGAAGTGCGTAGTAGGCGATAAACCGAGTCATTACAACGGTTTTCGGATACCAACTGCCAAGTTCTTCCGGAAACGGATAACACACTTGTATTGTTCTATCTTTGGTTATTTGTATTTCTTTAAGAAAGGAAAACATTGCGGCAGGTGTTGCCAATAGTATTGATAAAAACCAAATGATTGCAATTGTCACAACCGTATATGCCGTCGCTCTTTTCCTGTAACCGGAAGCGTTGAATTTTTTCAAAGGATTAACAATAGCAAAAAATCTATTTGCACTGAGTGCTGTCAGAGTAAAAACGGATACGCCAACGCTCACGTCTTTTGCACTCTCGGAAATCTAAAAAAAAAAAAAAAAAAAGGTATTTTTTCAAAATGAAAAATTTATGAATTTTATATTTCAATAGTTTGAACTTTTCCTTACCTTACAGATTAACAAACCGAACGGCCATGATTCAACGGTGAAAACCGTCGAAGTAAAAGGAACACTTGTGAGAATAACCAATAAATCACCCAAAGCTAAACTAAATATGTAAGTATTAGGCACCGTTCTCATATTTTTATGATTAACAAAAATTCGTATGAGAGTTCCATTACCCAACGTTCCTATCTGTAAAAAAAAAAAAAAAAAATTTAAATTTATTTATAATGTAAAAAAATTAAATTTAAAAAAAAAATATATTTCACTTACCACAAATATAATAAAAAATAAAATTGGTACGATATACGTTTCAGGTCTGACTTCATACGATACATAATTATCAATTAAGGTTTCGTTTGATTTATTATAATCATCTAATTCAAAATTCGTCGTCCAATTCATCATCATTATTTCAAGATGGGTGGTTTCGTCAGTGGGTGAGTTTCCACAAACATTTTACAACAATACAATCTAAAAACCAAAAAAAAAAAAAAAAAAAATTTATGGACTCGTGTATGTGTACACTTATTGTATTATGAGTATCTATCTGTCTAAAACCACGTCGTTTTTGTCATCGGTTACAATTTGTATTACGAGTACAGAGAAAAAAAAAAAAAAAATTGTATTTATATATATATATTTATAGAGGCCGTAAAATTTCAAAGACGTAATGGCCCTTGAGGCGTTTTCACAAAAAAAAAATTTTATTGCCGATTAATCTCAAATAGTTTCCTCTAATCGAAAAATCCTTCCGCCACCACCACCACCACCCCCTTCCCACTCCTTCCCCCTCACTCTTATCCTAAACGTTTCAAGTTAAGTCAATAATAGAATTTTTTTGTAACCTTTTGACCCCCATCGTAAATTCTTTAACAATTTTTTTTCTTTTTTTTCCCCTTTTTTTTTTAATCAACACGTTGTTACGAGAAAGAACGATTTGACTTTTTATTATTTAATTAGTAAAAAAAAAAAAAAAAAAAAAAAAAAAGTAATAAACGTTATTCTGTTAATTATTAAAAAGGGCGTCGGGAAATAAAATGATAATGATAATGATAAATTATTATTTTAATACGTACGTTAAATTTGATTTTTTTTTTTTTGGTTGTAATCGCATTGAATTTTTTTTTTTTTTTTAAATAAATCGATTCGAGTGCATTTTTTTTTCGTAATAATAATAATAATAATAATTGACATGTGTTTTTTATCGATAACTTTTTTAAATCCTACTTAGTTATTTTATTGTAATGTGTGCGGTTTTACAACAATCGTATTAAATTAAGTTATTTTATATATTTTATATAAAATTTAATTGTCTGATAAAAATCAAAAGATATAAAAAACTTTTTTGCTTTTTTTTTTTTTTTATAATTTTACCGGATATTAAATTTTTTATAATGATTTTATTTTAGATTTTTCTTTTTTCTTTTAGAAATACAAAAAGAAGAAGAAGAAAAGGTATCGAAACAATTTTAATTGTTGTGAAAAGAATGAAAAAAAAAAAAAAAAAAAAAAAAAAGGGTGGGGAAGTCAAAAAAAAAGGAAACGTACCCGGAATGAAAATGGATAAAAAGGAAATGGGGTAAGTACAAAATCAACTTTTTGTAAAAAACAAAACAAAACAGAAAAAAAAAACTAATTAAACAAAATGAAAGAAGTAAAAAAAAAAAAAAAAAAAAAACAAAGTTTAGGCGTTGTAGTTACGTTTTCTACTTTGCAATATTAAAAAAAAAAAAAAAAGGAAAAAAGGAAAGAAAGAAAAGGAAAAAGTTTTTATTAGATTTTTACTTAAGAAAAAAAAAACAAAAAAAAAAAAAATATAAAGAAACGCGAAAATGAAAAAATCAGAAACGGAAACGGAAAGGGCAAAAAATTTATCGTTTATGCCGGTTCGATACGTTTTTTAAAAATAAATAATAATAATAATAAAATTTTTGGCGCGTAAAATGTTATTGAGAGCAGCCATTATTTTTTATACTTGGAAAAATTTTTTATGGAAAATCTTTTGACACGTTTTGTTTTTCTCTCTCTCTCTCTCTCTCTCTCTCTCTCTCTCTCTCTCTCTCTCTCTCCTCACAATCCATTTGACTTTTACACATTTTTTTTTTTTTTTAACAAGGTCGAAACTAACAATATTCACATTCTGAAAAACAATTACGATGATTGTTTACGTACAAACAAACAACCTTTTCTCGATTGTTCGATCATTCGTTTAAATTCGAATGATCGTGACATTGGGTTAAAAGTGACTTTGATCATCAATTAAATAATTAATTGATTTTGGGTTAAAGTATCACGTGTTAACATTTTAGAAATTTTCTTTTTCGTTTTTCCCGTCGTTAAACTTCATCTTCTCCCCCCCCACACCCCCCCCTCCGGAAAAATTAAAAAAATAAATTCACGGGAATCACTACTACAAATTTTTAAAATATTGAAATATCGTACACGGAGTAACCGTAAATTCCCGAAGGATAATAATGGGTTGGGAAAATTAATTTTTTAAAGGGAAAATTTTACATTTCGTACCTGGTAGTTGTGGTTTGTAATCCTACGGGAGAAGCAGGTACGCGGTCGAAAATGTTTTTCGCGAAATAATTCCACAAAAATTTTATATTTGAACAATGAAAAATAATTTACATTTGATAATTTTTTATGTGAAATGAGAGAGAGAGAGAAAGAGAGAGAGAAATTTTTTTTCTTATTTTCAAATATCTTACCATTTCCGTTTGTTGTATAATTTTTAAGGAAACTAAAATTTCATTTCCGTTTGTTTTAGAATTTATTTGATTTTCGAAAAGTAGAATATAAATATTCAAAGGTGATTTCGAAAAATATTTGCATATATACAGTCGAGTGTGTGTGTGCGTGTATTCATTTCGCCAAAACAAATAGAAAAAAAAAAAAAAAGAAAATGTGGGAAAACAGTGCGGGTGTGCGCGCGTTTGGAAAATTTCGACAAAGAAGTTTTAGAACATTTCGAAAATTAAAAAAAAAAATAGAAAAAAAATTTAATTTAGATTATTAGCTTCACACGTAAGTTTCGAAAAAAAGAAAAAGAAAAATTTTTTTTTGCTGTTGTTAAAGAAAGGGGGGGGGAAAAAAACTGTCAGATTTCGAAAAAAGGTAAAAGGGGAGAGGAAAGGCGGGAAAGAGGGAAAGGTTTTGTGGGATTTAAAAAAACTTTCGGACAATATTTAAGAGACAGTCAAAAAAAAACATTTTTTTTTATAAAGATTAAAGTATTTTCGTAAATGGCGTTCGTTTTTAGTCTTAAATTTAAAAAAAATAAAATAAAATGTCTCTCGAACTTAACGAGATTTTATTTAATAATAATAATAATAGTGATGTAGTGGAAAAAAGAAGGGGTGGGAGGGAGGAAACAAAAATAAATGGCGAAAACTAAAATTATGGGAAAGATTGGGGAAAAAAAAAAAAAAAAAATTGTTTTTTTCTTGTTTTTTTTTTTTTTTTCCCTGATAAAACTTAATTTAGCGTTTCGTAATGTTTTACGTAACGAAGGGCCGCGCACGCCCACCCCCCCACCCCCAAACACAAATAACTAAATAAATCCGTTCGCGTCAAAAAAAAAAAAACGTTCAAACTTTTTATAGACAAATTTAAAAAAAAAAAAATTTTCCGGATTTTCATTAGGAAGAAAAAAAAATTATTATTATTATTATTATTATTATTATTCGAAAAGGAAAAATTCTAATAAAATCTAGAAAAGTTTTTCTCATTGTTGTTAAACGTAAGAAAAAAAAAAAAAAAGGAAAAAAATTTTTTCGAGAATTCGTCAAAAAAAAAAAAAAAAACGTTTTTTTTCTCTATGCCAGGAGTTTTCAACGAATGAGAGAGAGAGAGAGAGAGAAAGAGAGAGAGAGAGAGAGAGAAAGAAGAAAAAGAAGAAGTAAATTAAATTCTTTTAGTTTCTTATTCTTCTTTTTTTTGTGTCGAGCACGCTATAAAATCCTTTTTTTTTTTTTTTTGTCAAACTAAATAAATTTTTATATGTTCCGCTTAAGGGTTCGGGGTAGTATTAAACGATTACTTTTCAAAATGGCGGATTCGCAATGGCAAAATTCAAAAAAAATTTATTATTATTATCGTAGTTTAAAAATCGAATATAAAATTTTCTCGATGGTCACCCCATAAGGAAAAAATTTTTTACGAGTCGAAGTATACATATTAATGTGTATTAATATTATTATTATTAATTGTTTGTTTCAATGGCGATTCGAAAATCACCCGATTGATTGATTGATTGATTAAAACTTTTCGATACAAAAAAATAAATAAATAAAACAAACGTTAATAAATAAATAAAATGGCGGGCGAACGCGATTAAGTAGTAGTGGAAGGAGGGAAATCGTATGACGTTTTACATTTCGTTATAACGTTTTGTTTATTTTCTCTATGATATCAAATTTTTTATTTTTTGTCGAAATCATCACTTTTTACATGAATTTTTATTTTATTTTTTCGTAAAAGTTATTATTATTACTTTTTTTTTTTTGCTATTTCTCTCTCTCTCTCTCTCTCTCTCTCTCTCTCTCTCTTCCACTCCCACGAAGAATCTTTTTCGCGGTAAAAGTTAAAAAGAAAAAAAAAAAAAGAAAAACCCTTTGGGACAAAAAAAGCACTCACGCGTAAACCCACACGAATTTATTATTCAAATATATATAAATAGAAATAAACATGGCGGGGTGGAAAAAAAACTAATTTTTTTATTTACATTTACTCTCTCACTTTGAGGTTATGTGTTTTTTTTTTAAATAACAATTTTTAATATCAAGTCGTCGAAAAATTGATAGTACAAACGGTTTGTCGACAAGAGTAAAAGAGAGAGTGAGAGAGTGAGAGTGAAAGAGGGAGAGAGAGAGAGAAAAAGAGTGAGTGGGAAAAACGTCGTAATATCGTATTTTATTACGCGTATAAATTTTTTCCTTTTTTTTTTATATATATAAAATTGCGTAAAAAAAATTTTCCCGAGTTTAAATTTTTTTATGTTTCGCGTTGTGTTTTTTTAACAATTTTGATAAAAAACTTTATCCCGTGGGAATAAAGAGAAAAAAAAAATTTTATGCGGGTATTATGAAAAAAAAAAAAAAAGGAAAATGTCGTCGTTTTATAAAACAAATTTTTAAGATTATTTTAAATTTTTTTAAAATATTAAACAAATAACGCAGCATCCCTTTCCGGACCAATTTTTTTTTTTTCTTTCTAAACGCAAAAAGAAAATTCTAATTAAAAATTTTAATTCAAGGAAAATCCGAAAAAAAAACTCCGGTAAAAATTTAATTATCGTTTTCAAATTTTTTTTTCGAAAAACTGTCGGGAAAATATTTTTAAAAAAATTTTACCCTTTCTGGGAAAATTTTCTTTAAAGTTTTCTTTGTTAAAAAAAA